ATCTCATAGTCAAAATCCCCAGTCGTCATCTGACTGAAACTCATAGAGACTCTAAACTATAATTGCCCAGCCAAGCCACTCCTCAATTCCTGACCCACAGAAACTGAGAGATAGTAAATGTTTGTTTTCATTTTAAGCCGCTTTGTTTTGGGGTAATTTGTCATGCACATCATCAGCTGTGTGTCTTCTAAGACAATTGTATTTTAACAGGAGTCTTTAAGAAGTTGCCCATGTAGCAGAAAAACCCTGAGCTTGAATCAGAAAACACCTCAGAAAAGCTAGGTAACCCTGGAGGGGCCCCCTTGGGGCTCTGGCCTCAGAGTTCTCATCTTAAGCACATTTTAAGGGGAAAGGGGCAAGTGGTGGACTAGACGGTCTCTGGTCCCTTCCACTTTTAATGTTCTGTCGGCTGGAGAACAGAAGCTGTGGGAGCCAAGCGTGGCGCCTTGAGCAAGGCCAGTAGCCACTTTTTCCACAGTTCCCGGGGCTGCATCCTGAGGCCACTGGAAGAAAGGAGCCCAGGCCCTCTCCTGGGCTGGAGCCAGCTCTCCGCCTCCTGCGTCCAGCCTCCTGAGCGCCATTGCACGGTGCCTCAGACCAGAGCTTTAATGGATCCAGTGAAAGCTGTGGGACCTGCCAACCTCCGTGGGCAGAAATCTCTGGGAAGAGGGTGATATGGGCCATAGAGGGCTGTATCAGCCCTTCCGGAAAAGATTTAAGACTTTGTTCATAAGAAGCAATGGAAAAGGAAAGCTGGAATTATTCAGGCCTCCTAGCCAGAGAAATTTCTTTAAATCAGTGGTTCTCAACCAGGTGCAATTTTGTCCCCCAGGGCACACTTGACAGTGTTTGGAGACATTTTGGGTTATCATAACTGGCAGATGGGTCCTACTGGCATCTTGGTGGGAAGAGGCCAGAGATGCTGCTAAACTTCCTACAATCTGCAGGGTGATTCCCCATAACCAGGAGTCATCCCGCCCAGAATCTCAATGGTGCCATGGTCGGGAAACCTCTAAATAGAAGTATTTGAGAACAAAGTACTGTGGCAGCCTGACCCTGCCTACCATTTCCTGCTCACATAAGTTTGTTTCTGACTGCCCTCCTCCCACCTCAAGGACTCTCCGGCTAACATCAGTTTTCTCCTAGCTTGCCAACCAATTAATGTTATTCCTTACATCTGTAGCTGTGTAGGAATGACAAGACTGTATAAAACTGCCTGTTATGTTACAATCAGGGCTCAGCCTTTGGATGAGAATCCCCTGAGCCAGTACTGGCATCAATAAACGCTGCTTCCTGCTTACAGCCTCGGTGTCCCATCTCTCCATTCGAGAATCCCGCAACAGTACCAGGTCCTCACAAAATAAGGATTTCCCCCCGCCCCTCAAATGTCACAGGGCAAAGGGGACTCTTTCTTCAGGGAGAGAAATCTGTAAATAGATCAGGATTAAGCTACACTGCTGAGAGCTCTCTCTCTCTCTCTCCCCCTCTCTCATACAGATACACACAAATATCTGCCTCTGGCTCTGCTCTGTGTGCACACTTGTACCATATCCTGACAGCTTCTGGTGGATCTTCCAAGTCAGGCATTGAGATCCTCAAGGCGAGGACCAAACTGAAACTTGGAGTGGAACCACCCAGAGGCAGAGCCTGGTTTTGTGGGGACTGAAATTTGTACACTTTTAGGGTATTTCTAAAAAAAAAAAAAAAAAAAGAGGAACAAGGCCTTGGAGTGAACTCCTGCAAGTGAGAGCTCTAGCTCCAGTATAAAGGATAAATTGACGAGTGATGGTGGCACTAGTATGGAGAGAAATGGATGAGATATTGGGGGAGTGGAATTAAGAGGGTTTACTTACTATTAGATGAGATATGGGCAATCGAGAGCTGAGGGCACTTGCTCTGGCAACTGAACGCAAAGTGGCCTGACTTATGGAGAAGGTGCATGAGGCACAAGCTTGAGAGAGGCAAGTGCGAGGTGCCTATTGAATGTTAAAACAGAGATGGCCAGGAAGAAACTGGATTGCAGGTCTGTCACTGGGGAAAGATAGCTGGGACTGTGGAGCCAGAAGAGGGAAGAACCGCATGTGCACACCTACCCCACCCTGGGAAGCGGATGTGTTTCTCCACTGTGGCCACAAGACAACACCGTCATCCAGGACTGTTGGTAGGTTATCCTGATTTATTAGCTGCCATTTATTGAGCACCTACTACATACCAACTGCTCCTCTACATCTAATCATTTGTATTAATGGGATAGTTTTGAATCTGATATTCCCAACTTGGGGCTCACCTGTACAAAAAAACCTTTACCTCCTTTGCCATTTTAAAAATAAAATGAAATCCTTCGTGGAAAGAGAGGAAAACTTAAGAGTTGAAAGTCTTAGGTTCAAATTCTGATTCTCTACCTAATAGCTGTAGTCAAAATACATTTCCGAGCCTCAGTTTTACCATATTCAAAACAGAAATCATCATCATCATCTCACAGAACAGTCATCAGAAGAAGACAATTTGTATGAAAGATAACTTATGTGATGGTCTCTCAAATAAGGTTTACTTTAAGGAAATAATAATATTCCCAGGGAGAATACCAATTCTTTCATTGCACTGAGATTATGTCTTATTAAACGAGCTCCACAGGCCATCAGTTAAAGCTTAAAATTCTCAAACCCTAGCCCCTCCCTGGTCAAACCTTCCTGCTCTCCCCTGCGTGCCTCCCCAGCACTGTTGATTCCGCTCTTATGCAAGGATATCATCAGTTAGCAGTCTCCTTCTCCCCCTCCATGTTCATCACAGAACCCTCTGCAGCTACACAGCACTCAACACAAAGCAGGTGTTTGCCAAGTGTTGGTTCAAACTGTATTCAGTCTTAAAGATTTTGGGGTTGACTTGTGTAAAGAGAACTATTAATTCCAAAACTTAAATTTAACTCCAGTGGATTAAAAAAATTCCTCTAGATCACATCTATGTTAGGTTGGTTTTGTTATACAGGAAAGTATTTGATGTATTTGGCAGATTTTTTAAAATCTAGTAAAAATCAAACACCTAGGAAGTGAAGAATGAGTTGCCAGGAGAAGAGAGGACAGGAAAAAAAAGGCAGAGAGATGCTTGAAAAAATCCAAGGAAACATAACTGGTCCCAGAAAGAGGTTACATAACTCGTGGGAGTTTTGACAATTATCTGAGTTCTGGGATGATTGGCAACTAGGATGGGCTTCACATGAGCCTCCTGATAGCAATACCCAAAAAGGCCACAAGAGGGCAATATTACTCCAGGAGTCTCTCTCCGTCTCTTCCACCCTTGTCTGTTCACAGACATCATTCTCTAGCGAATGTCATCGAGGACTTCGTGCATTTCTGTCACTTCATGCCGCTGGCCTTACCTCCAACCACTTTCCCATCACCAGCCCTAATATGAAATAAACTCTACTGACTTTATTGCTATTTGTTACACTTTAAAAACTGTTATGGTCTCTGCTCCTAATTGTAAAAGCAGCTGAAATCAAGTCTTATTTTAACGGGAAATCTAAAATAAACCAACAAAAACTCATGTGAGGTTGATCTTTCTCTTTTTGTAAGTTAATAACAGAGAGACTTCACAGGAAAACTGGGTGTCGCGAGGCCTGGAGGTGGTCAGAGATAGAAGTGCCCCTTTTAGGTAAAGATAGCTCCTTAAGCTGGGGAGAGGGGCTGCTAGCTCCCTTGAGACGGGGCGAGAAGGAGGCTGAGCCCTGCTCCAGAGAGAAGGATGAAAATCCAAACAGCATATTTAAAAATTGCTTTACTATGGAAAATTTTAACAGTGCAAAAGTAGACACAATAGTATGACAGACTCAGATACTATCTTAAGGTGCGTCTGAAACTATAAACCATGAAAGAGGCTGTGGAAAAGATGTAAGCTCCCAGTTTGTTGAGGACACTTAAGATGTTAAGTGCCCAGCCTCCTGGGTCTGCCCCACTCAAGCCCCTTATAAGAGAAGGGGTTGGGGGGACCGCTGGTCTCTGAGGGCAGCCAAGAAAGGGAAGCTGTGCAGACATCAATTTCAGCACCAGAAAGGATTTGAGTCCTAGATTCGTATCCTGTAACATAGAAGTTATTTTTGTTTATTGTTTTTTTTTTTTAACCTGGGTGGCTTCTAAGGACATCTGAATATTCAGAGAATTACATGTATGCTTATTTTCCTAGGGAGAAGACCCACTGCGTCCATTAGACTGTCAAAAGACTCAGTGGCAACCCCTTGTCCCCTCGCCCCAGGGCAGAAAAAAAAAAGGCTTAAAAACCACTATGATGATACTGATAATGCTGATCCACTCATTCTTTTCCAATGATCACATCATTCTTTTAAACACAATGGACTTTGAATATTTTAGTAAAAAAAAACTGTCATGAGAAATTAAGAAAAATAGGTAGATGCAGAAATTTTCTGCTAGTTATTTACTATTTTGAAATGTCATATTTGAGATTTTATATCTGTATGCTATAATTACAGAACTTTTAATAAAAATAATCTGCTTTTAGGTACTTTATACTGGACATATTTAGGTGTATTGGTTTCATACCTCTGAGCAGAAACCAACCATTAACTACTAATTTTAAGTGTTTGATAACAATGATAATCCAAATTCATAAATAAATTTGGGTAAATGCGCTTTGCTCTAAAATCCATTCAATGCGTTTTTTACACAGATATTTCAGAAATCACTGTGGAAATAAACACATACACATATTTATTCACAGAAAATGCCACTATGGCTTTAATATCAAACATGGCTGTCATAGTCAGTTCACAGAGAGAGCATAAAGTGCACAAGCTCCATTTCCAAGGCCTTAAAATCACTCCCAAAGCAATGGAGTTTAAATGCTACCACAGCCGATGAGCACACCACCCTTACACAGCACACATGATATAAAATGTAAAGTATAAAAGAAGGAATATATTTGAAAATACTATATTTTCCCTGATTACACTTTGCAGTCATAAAATAGTCTTAAACCTGGCTTCCATTAAAAAAAAAAATCTATAGGAGAATGATGTCTGTAAGATCCATTGAGAACCCTAACCGAGCCCAAGACTTCTCTTTGGCCAGCTAGAATGGCAGCACCTATGCAGAGAGCTGGCTATGAAAGGTCCTGAGTTCATCTGGAGAAAATGAGTTCTGAGAGGGCCTCCAGCTAGGCTTCAGTGCTCACCTGTCCCCCAGACACGGCTGGTTCCATGTCAGCCCAGAGGCATAAAAAGTCAGGAAGGGCTCAAATCCCAGTCCTGGAGCCTCCAACACGGCACTGGCTCACGTAAGCATGATGGACTGGTGAAAGACATTTTTATCCACCTGAGAAATCCTATAATCAGAATAGGTGGCAGTATTTTTACAAAGCCTGAATTTGATGATCATCAAGCTTTGTCCCCCAATAGAACATCTTTGATTCATAATTAATGGTTTAGGCACTCTTCAGAGGGACAGGCACAGAGTTCCCCAAAAATATAGCTTGTAACCAAATAGATTCAGTATCTCTTCCCCACAGACCTTAAATATGTTCACTGCAGCACTTGTTTTATAATAATATAATCATAAAGAGAATAATTTTTCTAAAAATCAACAAACACTGTAAAACAAGAATCACTGACTTAAGTAATCACTTAGCAACTTCTTTTTTTAAAATCCTAAATCCAGTTCCTTCTGGGTGTGATTTTGAGCCAATTCTAACCAGAATAAAAATCTGATAGCCATGCTGAGCAACCACCATGACCTAACTCCTAAATGTCACATTTCCACTTCCCTGCATTAAGGAGGGGAGAAGGGTGGGGATTCTTGACTGCACATTTATTAACCAAAGAAGCTATTCACTTATTTTAAATCTGCAAAAGTCAAAACCTGTAAAGCCATATATTTAACAGCTTTTTCTTATGACTCAGCAATACAAGTGCAGAAGCCTATCAAAAAGTAGAATTCAGTCCATTATCTCTTAGGGCCCATTCGTGTTGGGCTCAGTTAACAGAGAAGCCTCAGTGGTCTGTCTCAGGATCCGGTGATGAGCTGTCAAGTGTAAAGCTAACTCTAGTGTACTTCAAAACCTGCTCTTCGTGAAACATCCACAACTGGCATTTATATTTCATTCCATTACATTACAGGATAAACTATAAAATACATCTATTTACAACTATATTAAGGGGAGGCGGGGGGAAGAGGAGAAGAAAATATACCAAAATATTAACGATGGTTGTCTTTGGGCTATAGAAATACAGATTACTTTTTTTCTTCTTCCTCAACTTTTAGTAGTATCCCAATTTTCTTTAGAGAGCATGTAGTGATATAAAAGCATAATAAATATAGCTGTAACTATAAATATGAATGATACCATAAACCTAACTTAAAATAAGATCGGTATATTTCTACTCTTGATTTATCATCCTACGCTGGCAAGCTATAGTGACTGCTGTTCAAAACTAGAGTTGTGTTTTGTCCCCCTCACATATGCCCCATTTCACACTTCTTTCTCATTAAAACTGATCTCTAGAAGAGCGTGTGTTTTTCCTGTCAAGGCATTCCTTCTGACATCGGAACTTAGTCATTTGTCTTGTAGTGGAGGAACAGAAACAGCCCTATAAATCAGGGCGCTTACTTCCTCACTTCTAGCAGAGTCACATTGTGTCCCTATTTCCAAAGGACACCCAGGAACTTCCAGAAGGACAAGGTCAAAGCCTCGAGAGCTGGAGATAGTGTTTCCCAGGAAACAAGCCCCAAATCTGATAGGGGTAAATTGTTCTTCCTTGACGGTTGGGACAATGCTCTCTTCACCAAGAAACCCTCGAGACAGAAATGAAACCTCACAGACATACAGAAAACATTTCCTACTCACCTCTCTCCACTTCCTCCTTACCTACACTTCCACACTAAAACGGTTGGGCTTAAAATACACCAAACCTCCTACTGGAGAGCATTTTCACCCCGCAGAATGGATAGGACCGGAACCCATGCCTGCCAAGTCAACCAAGTCAAGGAGGACAGCCTGATGCCTCCCTTCCAAAAATTCTAGACTTGAAGCCCAAAGGACGTAGCGGTTTTCAAGTTCCGTTTCATGAACCGCCTAGATCTCATAGAGGTGTATCAGAGGTTCCACTAATATTTAATTCAAATATCATTTTTTAAAACATATATCTAAACTATAATAAAGCAACATGTACACTCTCGTTCAATACCAATTTTTCTACCTTGTAAATCACCAAATTGTTAAATAGCACTTTCACTGCCCGATATATTGTTAAGGAAATACTATAAGCTTAATCTTAAAATAAATTTAAGCTAATAAAATACAACCCATTTCACACATTAGGGAGCCATAAAGATTTCTTGCTGCCAACAAGATTCTGCTAAAATAATTTGAAAACCACAGAAGTAGGATAAAGACATTCATTTCTAAATGCTGAATTCAAATCCTTAATGGACTTTGCGCCTTAGATCCTAGGCAATTCTAACCAGAGTAAGAGTTTCTGGACATGCCAAAAACTGCTGCTCCCTGACCCTTAGGTACTTAGGACAGTGACAGGATTCCTGTCCACACAAGGACAGTCCGTCCTGCCCTCTCACAATGGAATGCTACAGAGCGAGAAATGCCTGAGTGAAAATAAGTATCCCTGAGGTCATGAATCCCCACCTCACACCTCCGAGACAGCTATGGAGTCTTCCATTCATCCCAATGGAGAGGAGATTGAGTTGTAGCCAGTGTCACGTTAGGTGAGAAAAACTCGGAAGGCAACAGACTCAGCCTGCCGCGCCAGCAACCCAAAGCAGCCAGTGTTTAGTGACTGCCAGCACATGAGAAAACCACAGGAAGTGCCTCACACTGTGACAGTACGGAGTGTAATTCCCATAGCAAAAATTAGAGAAAGCAGAGGGCATATTCCTGAGGGTAATTTCCAGAACAGGACAGCATCAGGGAGGCTTCCAAAACTTCATGTTTGCTGCAGACTTTGAACCATGACCCCCATTAACAGTTGTCACAAGCCCTTTGGCAATGTTACAGAGGTGAGGGGGGCGGGGAGGGTCTGTGTATGGACCACTCACACCACACCTATTCCTTTGTGTGTCTGAGGCTACTGGGCTGGGGTGGGGGACAAACAATGTCAACATTTTAAAACTCTGTCATCTTCAAGAATGGCTTAGAGAGTAGTTTATGGCATAGAGGGGTTTTCTCACTAGCATCCCCTCATCTGAAGTCAAGTCTCCATCTCTCAGCAGAGGTAGAAGTTAAAGGTCTCACAAATGCATGTAAAACCTAGGTTATTGAGAGCTGCAAACGGAAAACTAGCTTTCTTAGCCACAAGCCCCATTTGTGTGTTTCATTTGCTTGGTTTTGTTTTAAGATGGTTTCCCCAAATGAAAATCTCTGGCATCTTCCATTAGTTTGTGGGTGTTCTCCATCACCAGATCAGGCTATCAACGGGAATGGTGAGGTCTGGAGAGGGCAAAGTCTCCAGGAAGCAAGTCACTGTGCATCACTGGGTTCCCCAAAGGACTGCTCTGCCGTTGCCACAAAGGTCGCAGCCCAACAGGCCACTGCATCTGTAAGCGACACTGAGAAGACATGCCTTGTGCCCTCCGCCCCCTACTTTCCGTCTTTGGGAAACGAGAAGACAATCACTTCTCACCATGCACAGTGGACTCTTGATGGTCCACAAACACACTACTTAGAGCCCAAGGGAACAGAATTTTTTTAAAAAAAAAACAGACCCCACCCCCAACTCTGAGAAGCCCCCAGCTGTCTTTGCTGGCAAATGAAGCCCAGTGCAAGAGGAAATATAAGCTTCGAAGCCAGCCCCCGCCTTCCCATCATGTGATCTTGACTGGTGATTTCTTGCTGGCGCACAGGAGGGATACGTAGGGGACACCGATGAAGGCCCATTTCTCACTGGGCCAGAACCTGATGACGGGTCCTTGCTCAGGGATCTCGGAGGCAGCATCAAAGTAGGCAAAGCATACACAGCCCAGGTAGGCAGCAAGGCAGATGAGGATGTGCCTGCAAAGGGAGACAGGAGGTGAGAACCGGATGCGGGCAAAGACTTGGTGGCTCCTCCCTTTGGCCTGACCGACCTTTCCTGGCTGTAACAGTCTAGGGCCTTTTCTAATTAGGACGGGGTGAAGATGACTAATATTCCCTGGAAGAGCAAGAAAATGCTAAGTCTGGAGCAAACAGGGCCTGTTTTAGAACATTCTAAAATATTCCAGCTTGATAACAGGGACGAACATACAAATGCCTTTGGGGCTCAACCAAAAAGACTGAGGCCCAAGGATTTAAAATAGGCACTAAGAGGATGGACTTATAAAGCATCCATACTATGAGGTATTAATTGGAAACAAAAAATGATGAAGATAATATATAGTCATTGGTAAAGAAAGTTGTCCATGATCTAGTATTTAGTGAAAAAAAAAAAAAAAAGACTAGTTTGCATCATGTATAAAACGGTGCTATTTTCATTTTTAAAAAGTAGAATTAGGAATATATATTTTTAAAATATATATTACATATAATACAAAAGATATATTAAAATATATATTTATATAATCAGAAATACCTCAGGCTGTTAGTAATTGTTATCTCTCTTTGGTAGATGGAATTATGAGAGTTTCTCTTTCTACACTTCTATGCTGTTCAAATTTGTTATAAAAAAAACAAATATGTCATTTTATTTATAATTGGGACAGAAAACGGTTCAACTTTGAAAAACAAAGCAGAAAGTATATCAAATTCAGAAACAAATTAAGTTTAAGCCAAAGTTATTACAGTCTAATCTTTGATTAATACTTAAATCGCAAGTGTGACCAGGAAACTTGGATTGACAAAAAATATACTATATCCTGAATGTGATCATATTTACCAGGTGAATACGTTTATCAAAGCTTATCAAAGTGTACACCTAAAAGATGTACATTTTATTAACTGTCAATTATAACTTAACAAACACATGAGGTTATCTATAAATCCACTAGTGTGAATCAAAGTTGAACATAAGAAATATCAGACAAGGGATCCTAAGACCAGAGTCTCTAGTTGGTACTTTTTTGTTTCGTCTTTTGCAAACAGTCCTGGGAACAGATTGGGACTCATGGTGAATATATACAAGTTCACATGTCCAAGGAAATTTAAGCGAATTCTTTCAAACCACACAGTTTTAGGCATCTCCTTATAGAAATCAAACTTCATCTGAATCTAGATCTAACAAAGTTTTTCCAACTCTTTAACAATAGAATTCCTTCCTAGATGCTCTCAGTTTATCAGGGATACATACAAATGTATATTTCTAAACACATTTCTCTTGGTCCTTGTTATTATTTGCAACCAGAAGGACATGAAGGACAGAAAGATGACTCTGGGTGTGGAGCTGAAGCAATTCCTAGGAAGAGAGCCACTCGATTTCCTCCTTAGCTTTCTGAGTGTAGGATTCTGCATATTTTTGTAACCTGCTTCTTCTTTTTAACCTAACAGTTAAAGTATAGATGTTCCAAATCCCTCTTATCAAACTCCTAGGCTGATTTTATATGACCAGGTGGTGTTGGTGATCAATTCACTTTACTTCCGTGGACCTCTGTCTACACCTATAAGATGAATGGGTGAGACTGTCCCCAGATGACCGGCGAGGCCCATGCTTTCACCTGGGTCACTCAAACCCAGAAGGAGACTTGGATTAACAAAAATGTACTGTATCTTGAAAAAGGGCATATCTATCTCATTGTGGTTCCTATTTGGACCGTGTCTGTCCTCGTCCCCACATCTGTCCCAAGCCTTCCCCGCCTCCCCCAGCGTAGAGATCCAGCTAGAGCTCAGGTGACAGATTAGGTTTTCAAGCTCCATCATGCTTTAATAATGGAGCAGAGGTCAGAGACCAGGACTCGAGGCATAAACAGTTAGGTCTCTTTGTTCTGGCGAAGCCGGCTCCCTGGAGCCCATGCTGCTTTGGACAATACTTTCTGTGGCTTCTGAACAGACTGACCGTCTCAGTCTCCGTGAGGAGCGGGGGCCCTGCTCTGTCCCCTGGGCACACTTGCGCACGCTGCGGGGAGAACAGAGCCCAGCAGAAAGTGCAGACCCGTCCTGCAGCCACCACCCCACTAGCAGGGGCTTACCACACACAGTGCAGGCAGGGAAAGTGAAAAGATGACAACAGCTCACAGAAGGCTCGGTCGCTGATCCAGCAGAAGAGGGCGAGAGTCCACCAGAGGCCCGAGAAGAGACCCAGCTTAAATACACGCACGTTGTCACACCTGCATGGGATCCAGAGGGCAACTCGCCATCAGTCCTGGCTTCCGCCCCCCTCACCGGCCACTTCTCCAGTTCCTCACGTCTCCCCAGCCCCTCGGTACTGGAGTTCCTACCAACATATCATCACGCCACAAGCTCGTAGACGTGAATACATGAGCCCTGGTGACTCACGAAGCCTTAGCTTTCGCCCAGTCTCTCCCTGATCTCAGACACACAGGCCCAGCTGCCTTCTCGACATGCTCGCCCAGCGTCTGACATAGACCTAAATTTAAAATGTCCATAATGGACTCTTAACAGCTCCCCCTACCCCAAACCCGTTCTGCTCCCAGCCCTCTCAGGAAAAAAAGTCATTCCATGCTTTCAGAAGCTCAGGTCAGGGCAAGCACTGGAAAAGGCAAAATAAACAGGCCTCCAGCCTTGTCATTTTATTTATTTGTGTTTGTTTGTTTGTTTGTTACTTTTTAGGCGAGGCAACTCTCGATTGACCTCACAGATTCCAAGGACCTTGTCAGGTTACAATCCCTTATTTTTTATTTTTTATGCCTACAGCACTTGGTCTTCCTAGGTGGTCTCCCATCCAAGTATTAACCAGGCCCAACCCTGCTTAGCTTCCGAGATCGGACAGGATCAGGCTTATTCAGGGTAGCATGGCCGTAGACTAGCCTTGCCACTTTAAAAGGCAAAATGAAAACTGACGGAAACAAATAACCACAAATATATAGACAATTAGTCTGGTACAAGAGGATCTATGCACCCTCTGTTTAATTAAACCCAGAAAATTTGACTTAAGGAACACACCAGCACGGGGAGCTAGAGATGAGTGCATATGTCAAATGGCAAGAGAGAGGTGGGATGTCGGGCGACTGGTCACACGGGGGCCCTGCAGTCAGTCGCAGGGCAGCCTAGTACTGTCCCTGCCCGTTTCTAGAAGGACAAGCCCTGCTGTAGCTGCTGACCAGGCTTATGTGCACTTGGGGCTTATCCAAACCTGGGCTCCGTTAAATTGTATTCCTCCTTTTCAGGGCTTGTATCAAAATGTCAATGTGAAGTTAAGTGGAAAAGCAGGACAAAAGCTGGACCTTATTTTAGCACAGAAAAATCTGAGAGGATGTCTACCATTTCTCCTCTTCCTGGCCCTTTGCTGCATTCTCAAAGTTTTTCTTATCAACTCACTCCTATGAGGGGGAAAAAAGTCCATTTAAAAATACTTCAGATGTAGCTGAGTCACTTGTAATGTGACAACACTACCACAAATTTCAGTAAATGTCAGGTCATGACCCAAAGTCATAATAAAATTTTGTTTCTTCATGGTCTGAGAGAAGGTTCAGAAAGGACAATGAAAAGAGGAAGGCTGGGAAGAAGGGACAGCATGAACGTGGGCCTGGGGCTGGAAGGAGCTAGGCCACCTTGGGGACATGGAAGGTCAGAATGGCTGGAGGACAGAATATGAGGGAGACAACATGGATGGATCTTGAGATTATCGTGCTAAGCGAAACAGAAAAAGTTGAGAACCATATGATTTCACTTACATGCGGGATATAAAATTGTTTTGTTTATTTGTTGAACCGGACAAATGAACAAAAACTCAGACACAGAAAACTAGTGGTTACCAGAGAGAAAAGGGGAAGTGGGGGGAAGGTAAATAAGGATAAAGAGGATCTAATACCTGGTGATAGAAGGAGATTTGACTTTGGGTGGTGAACACACAATGCGATATACAGATGATGTATTACCGAATTGTACACTTGAAACCTATATAATTGTATGAACCAATGTCACCCTGATAAATCTATTTAAAAAAAAAATAAATGAAAAATATATAAGGGGAGCTTCGTGTGGGAGAGACCAGCAGGCAGGCACCGCATTGAGGATGTTAAACTTTATTGTAATTGCAACGTCAACTAATAGAAACATGACTGTGACCAGATGGGATGTTCAGAGAAAGAAGAGGAAGCCAGGCTTCTGGCTTGAGCAATAGGTAAGAGGTGTTTCGTTTACTGTGGCTAGAACTATTAGAGAACCAGAACTGGAAAAGGCAAATCAGGAATCTGAGACGTCCGTGACATGTGGAGTTGGACAGGTCAGGTAGGCAGCTAGATACACAATGGTGGAGGCAGAAGAAAGGACTGGGCTGGTGACACAAATGTGGGAGTCACTCACACATGTACGGTAATAAAGGCCAAGGGAGGAGATGAGATATTTGGTGGGGTAACTAAAGAAGGAGGAAAGCAGAGAGGTGAGACCGTACTTTAAAGGATATGCAAATTACAATCGATGCAAAGATGCATAGAAAAGGAGCTTACGTGAGAGACTGAAAGGAAGTTGTCAAAGAGTTAGAACCCCAGGAGGGTCTGGTGTCATAAGAGCCACAGGAGAGAGTGGTTCAAGGATTGGGGGGGGGTGGGGGGGGACAAATAGTTGAGAGAACAACACATAAGACCCAGGAGGGCTAAAAAATTATCATCAAATGTACAACCAAGAGGGGGTTGGGCATCAAAGTGGGGGCAGAAGCCACACAGGAGTGGGTTAAAGAGTAAAAGGATGGAGATAACTTTTAAAGAAGTTTGGCTGTGACACATAAGGTAGAGAAAGGGTGGTGGCTGCAGACAGACATGGATCGGGTCCAGGGTGAGTGTTAGAGAAGACGGAAAGGCCCAAACATGTTTACAGGCTAATGGAAGGACCCTTTAGAGAGGGAGGGATGACAGAGCAGACGATTTACCAGAGCGAAGCAGATACAGGAGAATGGAGGGAAGGGTATTTCCCACGGTGCTGCCTTTGCCAATGTAAAGATGAAGACCAAGTAACCGTAGCGATGACTAGCTTTTCAGAGACAAAGATTTTAAGTATGGAACAGAAATTATGTCCTTTATAATCACTTACAAAGATAAGAGAACTAAAGGAAAATATGTTTCCCTGCTTAAAGATGACAATTACGAAGCAGAATTTATTTAAACTATAAAGTAATCTGCCCTAACCGTTTGTCTTCCTCCATTTGTTCTTCTGCAGGTACTATGAATTAAAAATATTTTCCCTTTCCTTAAGCTATTTTTAATAAAACTATAGGCTAAAACATATTATTGGAGTTAAAATGGAAGTAGATTGTGGTGAATTCTCAAGAAACATAGCTAAGTCCAGAACGCTCTATTCACCGTAGGCCTAATCTAAGCCAGCACCACAGGACAGGTGACTAAAAATCCATTTCAGAGGTCCCTACCAGGTATTCTGTCATGTTTGCCAAAGAGCTTCAAGATCTATTAGTGTTCTGCAATGGGTCTCTCAATTCCCTAGTCCTTGAAGGCTTCTCAAAGAAGCTGACAAGATAGGACCTGACAGAGTCCTTCTACAGCCAGCAGGCCTACTTACATGCCTCTTCAACCACCTTTGACCCCGCTGACAATCAAAGCAACCCCCAGAGGCAGAGCAATGGAAAGAAATGTGTGTGTGTGTGTGTGTGTGTGTGTGTGTGTCCTCTCAAAACAAAGACTGAGAGAAAGCTGACTTAACACGTTACACAGAGCAACACTCACAAAGGGAGATAAAGACTTCAGTTAGACACCCTGTGTCCATAACAATGAGAGAGTCATGAATTAAAATGCATTTCTAAAAGGAGGCACAAAGAAAAGGAAGCATGTTCAAAGGGCATTAAAATAAGGGCAGTTGTCAGCTCTATTTTAGTTGAGGCTAGAAGAAGACAGTGGTGTACACATGAGAGCTAAACTAAAACGTTTCTGGATGTCCACCTGAACTCTGACTACACGACTTCCCAAAGGAAGACGCTTATGCAAATAGCAAAGGCTTTACCTGGTAGGTTGTGAATAAAAAATGTGATCTCAGAGAAAGTAGCAGAGTCAACAGTACTACATCTGAAGTCAACACTGCCTTGGACATAGAAATTCATTTCTTTTTCCTTCTCTGTGTGACTGCAACAGTCTCTTCAGGACTTTTTTCTTTTCTTCTTAATCTTGTCTTATGAACGAACCTATTCTCCCTTCTTCCGAGCTAAGTCTAGGCAGCTTGGTCTGGGGGCACAACGGGTCCTTGAAATGTTCCTGCTAAGCTATATTTGGACGACTGGGATGGTACTGAACCTACTAAACAGCTGCTCCCCTCTTTCTGAAAACAAGATCATTAACATTTTGAACCAAACCGTCACCCTTGCATTCAATCCAACAGTCAGGAACTGTTCATGAAGGTTAGCAAAGGAACAGGAGCTGGCGTGTCCCTATCCCCAGGCAGCCTGAGGAGCAGCAGGAAGAACGGCACCCACCTTTTTAGCTCTGCAACGAGCAGCGCAGTACAAGGGACGCCCAGGGTCATAAGAGAGATGTTGTTGATGGCGGGCTTGACAAACGCCAGGCATGTCGTCACTGCAGACAGGACGCAGACCACCACCTTGAACCTACCCCTGAATCGGTGAAAGCAAACCAAATCCATTAGCAAAGGGGGTCTTGTTGAAAAGGCACAGGCACTGCTGGTGGGAGTACAAGCACCAAGAGTTTAGAAACCAGTCGCGCTCACTGGCTCAGCAGTTCCATTTCCAGGAATTTATCCTTAGGAAATAATCAGGAATTTTCTAAATAGTTAGCATGAGAACAGTAAAATTAGAATCAGCCTAAGTGCCTAAGGGGGAGATATGAATGCTTGTTTTCTTAGTGTTACTTTTCTGTATCTTTTTCAGATGTCTTACAGCAAGATCTGGCAAACTTTTTCTGTAAAAGGTCAGAAAGTGAATATTTTAGTTTTTGCGGGTCATAGGGTCTGCCATGGTAGACCATAAGTGAGTGAATAGGCATGGCCGTGCACCAATAAAACTTGATTTGCACCGACAGGACCAGCTTGGCCTGCAGAACACAGCTTGTCAACCCCTGTTCTACAAGGTAAACATGGATGTCTGTCATAAGAAAAATAGAGACCATTTTATAAACCATAAAACTTCCTACCTAGTTTAAAAGAAAAAAATGTCCTATGTTTCTAGCACGTGAAAGTAAAAGTCTTAAAAAATTCTAATAATGTTTATATTTACTGACAATCTTCAGTCTAGCATGCATTGGAACTTTGTGTTCACAAGTTTTTGACGTGACAAATCCTAGAAAAGTAATGGATACATCCCTCCCCTCTCAAGTGGAAGAGCTTTCAGTAGAGAGAGCCAGAAATGGCGACGTGACCCTGGACATGCTCCTTCTTCTCTCCCTGGAACGCCATTTCCTTACCTGTAAAATGGAAAGTCTGGACCAGATTATCTCTAAGGCCTCATCTATGAGCACATGAATTTCCTGAAACTTCTGTTATCCTTCATGAGCACAATTTACTTTGGCCAAGAGCCCTGGAACAGGTCACAGTTAGGAAACCAATCTGAATGAAATTCCATTATAAAGAAATCAAAGTGCACTGATATCTTCAAAATACAAATTTATCTCTTAGAAGAAAACCATTTATCATCAAGGCACAGGAAATCATTGATCAAGCTGCCAACTTTCTGACTGGAATGAGCAGGAATTGTAGCCCCGAACTTCGACCAGAGGAAAAAAACACATATGGGAAAGGATCCAGGCAGCAAATCCTTAGAATAGTGTTTTTCTCCTGGCCTTGGCTGGCATCCTTCAGCTACTGGATAAAAGGCTGCCTGCCCCAGCCTCAGGATGACAGACCACACACAGCTCCCCCTCCCCCACTGTGCTTGCACATAGCCCCTTTGGGACCCTCAATAACTCTTTCACTGGTTTGACATGCCAAGGCTTTTGGCCTTCTCAGATTGGATGAACACATCATCATAAACTCAACTGCATCACCTCCCTGGATCCACGGTTAGAGAGAGCCACAGAGTGATTCAAAGCACAGGTGTTCTTGTGAGTCCCATGTGTGTTCACATTCTGCCTCCAGCACATAGCTGCTGTGGGATCTCTGGTGAGCCACTGAACTCTCCAAGCTTTAGACTTCCCATATGGAAATTAAGACATCTGCCTCACGGTGTTCTTGCAAGCACCAGAGCACTTAATACAGTGCCTGGTACATGATGTATCAATAAAATCCATTATTACTATTATCATTACCATGATTTGAGAATACATGCCTTTTAAGATATTATTATTGTTAATAATAGCACACTATCAGGGAAAATCTGACGGAGCTGGTGTTGCAATCACCAAAGACTAGATATTATTCCCAACGAGTCCAAAGGCAGCAAGCTTGACAAGACACACTTTCTTTAAGGAGAACATGGGAAGACACCTCCCACAACAGTCCCGTGGGTGTGGAGGAATGTGCTTCGGGAAGGCAGCTTAGCCAGCGAGGACATCCTGTGGACGCATGATTTTGCAACCAGTAGAAGTCAACAGCAATCACGTGGCCAGCGCAGCTGACCCCAGTCACCAGAGGCCCTGGATAAAAGAGAGCTAGAAATATCCAGGAGCAAGGAGCCCCCATAGGCCGTTGTCTAAACAATGATGACAGGCAACTCCTACTGCTGTCTCTGGTCTCCTTTTCAACTTTCCAGCCCATTAGGGGCTCAACCTAGAACACAAGGTCAGGGAACTCTTAGCACCCCTTCTTCCTGTATTCCCCACACTGAAATCTAGCATCGCAATATCATCATCACAATATTATTATAACAAAGCTGTTACTTTTATCATTAGCTACCCTTTAAAGCAGTGATTTTCAACTTTATCAGACCCTGTGCGCCTTTTTAAAATCAGATATTTGAGAATGTCCCTTTTACTCTTCTGAAGTAAAATGCAACTTATAGATGATAAAACTTCCCATTACTGTGACTACCATAAATTTCCCAGATGTCCCTTAAGAGATGGAAATGTCCCTGGTTAAGATCCTACCCTGCAGGGTTAAAACATAACCTGTTTAGAATAAGCTTCTGATATTCACGGGACTACAGCATTTGGTGGTCCTGGAGGGCCTACCCCTGTCATTTTATAAGTAAGGAACTGATAAGGCCCAGAGAGTCTAAGATGGTGGCCCTAAGTCATCAAGCCAGTGTGAGAGCAGGAGAAGCAGACCCCAGCCTGCAATCTTGCTATTTAAGATTCAAAAAATGAACTGGATTGTAAAGTGAGGGCTGCCCCTGGATTTTGTAGAGTCAAAATTAACAATCACAGTAGGATAAATTTTTTAAGAAATGGATACAATTAAGCTTATAATACTTCTTTGTTCTTGGTTTTCTCTCAAAACAAAAATGTCTAAAAATTATCAATAACCATCAACAGCTAAGCTATGTCCTGATGATTCTTAGGACATTCTAGGCTAAATAAAAGAAAGCCCTTCTTTTTTAGAAACCCACCAATTATTCCTATTTACATAATGAACTTTAATAATTTGCCTGCTGTTCTTCAAAACACTTATTCATATTAGCCATTCATAATAACTATTAGCACTTAGCAAGTCCTTACTCTGGATGAGACACTATACACTTTATATAATTTTTCCATATATTTCTAACACCAGGAGGTAGACACTTTATTATCTCTACTTTACAGATGAGCAAAATGAAGCATCAGAGCTTTAAAAAAAAAAGTAGATTGTTATTCATCTCCATATCTGTCTGATCTAAAGTCACTAAGCCTCCGTACTCTACTCTCTCTTCTCCAGAAATCTCACACTGGAACTACTCTTAATGTGCTTTTAGAAATATTCTAGCAAAGTCTAGATCACCAAAAGGAAAAAAGAAAAAAAAAAGGAGAGATAAATGTTAACTACCCAGTAACTTTAGGCAGCTGAACCACCCAATCCTTAGTCTATAAAAATGCTGGTTTTTACCTAAAATCTTTGGTCTGGCCTGCCACTTCCACTGTAGAGCTGCCACCTGTCATGGGCAGTAAAGCCCACACAAAGGGGTTTGGTCTTTTTGCTCTCTCTATCACTAGAGAGTTGAAGAAAGACAAATAGAACCTACATCCTTTTTTAGAGTGAGCTAGTTTTCCTATAATATGCACCTTTTCTTTCTTTGCTCATTGAAATCATCGATGCACATTCTCTTCTTCAATTTGTATGCATATCACAGAAATGCCAGGCAGAAATATCCTCTACGTGCCATGGGAAGTCAGCTCATGAAAGCTAACTTTGATAGAGCGCTCATCATGTTCTTAGTACCATACAAAGTGCTCTGTAGAGTCATCTCACAAGAACCCTGAGGTGAACACTATTATTTATCTAATTCTACAGATGAGCAAATAGAAAGTTAAAGAATCAAGACAAGTTATACAGTTTGTAAGCAGAGAAGCTAGGATGCAAACCCAGGCATTCTCCAAAGCCAGGAATATGCACATATGTGGGGTTCAGTGCCTCCAAAGGACTCTCCCCAAACTGAAGAGAGGGGTCACATCTTCCCTAGGGAAACGGTACAAGGTGCTGGTGACAGAAAAGTCTTAGGGGGTTACAGACCTCCCCGCATCTCATAGTATTTTCATTAGTAAAGCTGGTAAGCTCTAATTGCTACACCCATTGCCCCATTTTCTTCTCTCCTGTTCCTAACAACAGCCCCTCACTCCCACCTTCAAGAAACAAGAAAAGAAAAAGTTTCTCTATTATGAATACATTAAAAACTGTCACTTGGAATTTCACCCCGGCCTCCAGAGTGCCACAAAAAAATAAACAAAATCTTTACTCCCATTTCTTCAACTTCTCCGTCAGATCCCAGGATTTGAAAGATCAGATTTAAGAGCAAAGCAGTCCTTCAGCTCTCAACCTAACATACACCGGGCCTCAGGGAAAGGATGGGGGTGACTGGTGGGCACCCTCTGAGACAAAAGGAAAAGCCAAAAGGTACATGATCTGTTTCTCAGGTGGAGTCAAAAGTCCCTGCCTGCAAAGCCACTTCATGGCCCTGCCTAGCGCCATCCACCTCTGTCCCTTCCCTCGCTCTCTTCCTTATCTCCAAAATCTTTCTGATCATCCCCAGTCATTCTCTTGAAGCTGAACAAAGAAACAATACAAGACTAAAACCGGAGGCAGCATAAACAAACCTGTCGCGCTCTTAAGATATACTTCCCCCACTGAGGAGAAGACCTCAGCAAGGCGGAGGCCATATTTCGTCTAGGACCAGGAACACCCTCTTTTCACTTTTCCGTGTAAACAGGTGATGCTTGTGTGCTCTCTGTCTGTCTGTCTGTCTCTTTCTCTCTCATTATTTTTTTTGATAAGCAACCTTCTTGAGGATATTTCTATCTGCTTAATGATACTCAGAGATAATACTATTTAATTCAAATCCTGCTGCCCAGGTTGACGATTCCATAGCCAATCTATTTAAAGTATGTTTTTTATCCAACCTCATTTAAAAACACATTTTTGTACTAAAAATTAACATGTACTCTTGGAAAAAAAAAAAAATTGTTAAATAGTACAGATTAAAGGTAAAAGTGAAAGTTCTCTCTCCACCCCAATTCCTAAAAAAGGTAGTGGTTGCTGTTGTCATCCTCCCAGGCACGTACAAAGACATATACTCAAAAAGAAGTTAGTTCATTCATTCTAAAGTTAGGAAATTAAACACAGGGTTCTCCAATGTGCTTTTGCAGCCAGCTTACTTCATGGACACTCCTCCACCTCAGACCATAGAAAACAGCCTGCATCTTTAATAGCTGCATAGCTTCTGCTCCTACTCAGAGTACCAGGAAAAATGTAATAAATTCTGTATTTTTCTTGCTATAACTCATCCCTGGGCACACACATCTTGCTTAATTAAATCCATATCTTTAGACTATTTTTCCGTATATGTTTTGACAAAACACAGTGTCCTACAGTGAGACATGTGGGTAATATGTTCTGGGAACATTTCTCATCTTTATGAGGCTGACTCTCTTCTGTTTCCTCAATAGTAACAACCTTATACAACTCTTCAGGAATGCTTTCCCTGACCAAACTCTAAATCAGCACCCCAAGTTACCACTACCCCCTTACCAGCTTCATTTTTCAACATAGCAGTTATCACTCTCTAATATTACTTTTGGGTTTGTTGATTCACAATCTCCCCAACTTCAATGTAAGCTCATCGAGGGCAGAGATTCTGCTCCTTTGTTTACTGCTATATCCCAGTGCCTAGAAGCCTAGAAAAATGCAGAGTAAATAGTAAGTGTTCAAGAAATATTTACTGGATGATTAATCACATGAGCATAACACAATGGATATTAAAATGCATCCCTTCTCAAAATTTTGGGTTTCCAGCTTGGAGATATATGTCTATGCAATTTGACAGCTACGGTACCCATGGCTCAGAGAACCAATTCCTTAGTGGATTCTACTGTAAATTTATAAAATGGTGGAATGGACTGGACTAAAGGAAACGTCCTAACAGGAAATAGAAATCTTTCCACTTTGGCTCATATTAAATAAGGGTGACGTTTGACTTTTTGTCCCTAATGTCATATAAATTCTTCTCCAAGCATATTCAAATTCCCCATTTATGTCAGTTTATTCATACTGCCAGACTATAACCAATCAGTGGATATTAAACAAGTGTATGGGAAGCTCATTAGTAGGTTGTGCTTCAGTGTGCGCTATTTTTCTTGATATACACACCATTCTATTGGGTACTACACCTGGCAGTAAATGCAAAAAGGTTTAGCACTAGCTTACCTGTCATTACGAAAGATCTTTGGTAGATACCTTCTAGGGAACCACATGGCCAGAGCACACATCAGAACCCAAAGGATTGCAAGTTCATCAAGCATCTGACCCAGGAAACTCAGCGTTGCATGGAAGTAGACAGATCCAATTCCTAGAATCAATTACAATCAATAAAAAAGGTCACCAAAGAAGAACAGGCTCACAAATTCAACACACTGCTTAAGGATAGCCCTTTCACCAACCACTATCGCAGTCACCAGGTAGCTCTCTCTCTTAGAAAAAAGAAACTGAAGAAAGAAACTCACACCACCTAGGCATGCAAGCTTCAAGTCTAGAAATAGGATTGCAAGTAGGGCCCAAATATCAGAACATCAAACTTCAATGATTCCACAGTGAAACAGACTCTGTTTTTATCTACTGAGGATTCATGGGAACAGGCAGTAAAAAAAGTCAACATTCTCTCACTGTTAAGAATTCCCAGTTTGCCTGTGGAAGGAAATGGAAATTACACAACTATTTCCCAAAACAATGAAGGATCAAACATCTAGATTTTTTTTTTTTTTTTTACCTTTAGTCCATTAGAAACCACAGTCTCCTCAGAGTTCAATTGTTTCATATGACTTTCTTCAGAAGTTCTCAGAAAATTGCATTGGCACAACACCAATAGCTATTACATAAAAGAACTTTCAAATGGAATTAAGTGATAATTACAGCCAATCTTGTTTATCAAGCCCATATTCAAAGGAGTCCTTCTTTTGACGTCAAGAAAGCAAAATAAAAGTTTGTTAAGACGTCAGAGTGACTTTGGTTTACAAGACATAATGTTCAAGGGGGACAGGAAGTGTGTGGAATTCCATTTCCTCCCTTTCAGTCTATGTTTTCCAACGAATCTACTTACCCACAACGACTAAAAGAGTCCATATTAAGTAGATGCCACTGTTGAAGCATGTTGCATACTGACGAAACAAGCACATGCAGATGGGTGGTAAAACGAAAAACAAGACATTGCTGATCTGGAGGGAAAATGTGAAACGAAAAGATAAATATTAAGTAAAGGACAAAAAACACTGCAATCCGTGATAGCTGCCCAGGCTCCTCTCTTGATTCGAAGAATCAATAACTCTTATTCTTTTTCTACACGAATTAACTAGGAAGCCGTCTAATTTACTTGCACATACATTTTTAAAGATAAGGCCCGTACTAAATAATGGTTAAAATAATGAAGAGATGAGAAGGACTAGATATGTTCGGGCCCCCAGTAATCTGCCAGCAGGGCCAGCCTTTTCTCCCAGGCCCACGTGAAAGCAGGATTCTTCCTAGTTTTCCCGTGTTGTGCTTTATGTTTTCTCACCCTTTTCAAAACATACTTTTAGGTAAAAATCAAATCTGTAAGTCCTTTCCCAGCTTTAAAATGATACCATTTTATCTTTTAGACTTTAGTGTGGATTTAAGCCTCTCTGTTATCTCTCCAGAAGGCATTTGGCTTTTTTTAAAAAATAATATATTCTGTTCAACGTAATTTCAAAATATTGTCACTTCAACATATAATCACTAAACATCATTAATTTTATATTCTTTTGTTCATACCAAGGCTTTGAGGCCCAGTGTGAATTTCACACTTACAGCATATCTCCATTGGGTCCAGCTGTATTTCACATGCTTGATAGCCACTTGTGGCTAGTTACTACCACACCAGACAGCATAATTCTAAAATTCCACCTCTCATTTTTTAATCTATTTTTTTGTTTGTCTTTTTTAGCCAGTTCTTTTTTTCCCAAAAATTTTTAATTGAGGTAAAATTCACATAACATAAAATTAACCATTTAAAGAGTACAGTTCAGTGGCATTTAATACATGCGTCATGTGCAGCCATCACCTCTACCTAGTTCTAAAACGTTTCATCACCCCAAAAAGAAAACCCTATGGTCATTAAGCAGTAGCTCCCCATCTCCCCCACCCCCTAGCGCCTAACAACCACTGATCTACTCTCTGTCTCTATGAATTTACCTATTCTCAATATTTCAGAAAAGTGGAATCATACAATATATGCCCTTTTGCATCTAGCTTCTTTCACTTGGCATAATGTTTCCTGGGTTCACTCACATTATAGCATGTATCAGTACTTCTTTTTAATGGATGAATAATACTCCATGGTATGGATTCCACATTTCGTTAATCCATTCATCTAATTACAGGCTGTCGTGAACAGTGCTGCTATTTGCATACAAGGTTTTGAGTACTTGTTTTCAGTTCTTTTGGGCATATGGTTGGCCTTGCTGGGTCATATGGTAATTCTATGTTTAACTTACTGAAAAACCTCCAAACTGTTTTCCACAGTGGCCAAACCACTTTACATTCCTACAAGCAATGTACAAGGGTTCTAATTTTTCTATATCCTTGCCAACACTTATTTTTCTGGGGATTGTTTAGTCTAAGTAAGGCCATCCTAGAAGGTATATAGTGGTAGCACTGTTCAGCTTTTTAAGTTTCATCTCTAAGTGTGGAGGGAGCGGCTCCTCATAAAGGACTATGTACACAGAGGATGTGTGCAGAAGGTGAAGACGACAGCTGAGTTTATGCGAGCAACACCGTGAGAAAGGGGTGCAAGGGGTACACGAAAAAAGACTGGAAAACCAAACTTTCGGAGATAGCATGGGGCAGATTAAGTCTGGAAAGCCAAGGGCATGCGGGCTTTCAAAAGAAAAGACTGGTCACCCATGCTGGACAACACGGAGGAGGCCTCAGAGGAACCATGAGGGGGCGTGCCCGAAATGAACTGGAGGAACAGGGTAAATGGGCTTCTCCAGACCTACAAAATCACACTGGTACACAACTAGACATATGCATCAGCACACCCCAGAACTTGAGGCGTCATATAGGTAAGAACTGGCCTCACTGGTGGCCTGTGTATGCCTCTGTCACTATCTGGGAACAAGAGAGATTGGGACTGACACCATTTTTAGAAAGAGGAGAAAGGGTGGGAGAGAAATAAAACAAGAGAAAGAACAAGAGCCTTTGTCAGACGCAGGATGGAAGCAGGATTGCTGACTTTGGTTAAAATCCGGGACTAAAATCTCTAGTGGGGAGGCATCATTCTGGAGAAGGGAGTACCTTTTTCTAGTTGGTCCACTCTGGTGGGGGTCTTTTTCTCTTTCCCATGTAGGAGCTCTATGAGCTATTGGTGACGCTGGGCGAGATAAATTGTATCAGATGTCCCAGGTGGTATGCAGTCTCCAGTCTCAGAAATAAGCAGTAGGCTATTATTCATTGATTTTTAACTTTCTGTGGAATCATTTAAAGAATTGGAGATCGTTAAGAGATCTTAAAGACCATCCCTCGTTTTACAAGGTGATGTAATTGAAGGCCCAGAAAGGTTCCTTGGCTGGCCAAGGTCAGACAGGCAATTACCCTGGGAACTGGAGCCAGCATCCAGTAGTCACCTTGAGCTCTCTCCATGGCCCCCTAGCTGATTTTTACCTCCAAACCACCCAGCCACATCCTTACCTCCTTGGCTTAACTCATAACTGGTATCTAAAAATTCTGAATGGCATCACACACTGTGCACATGTGACCCATTCCATGATTTAAATGTGGCTCTCCTTTTGTTAAACATAGAAGTTGATGGAAGAAAAGGAGGTAAAGAGGGAGAAGGAGAAAAATCAAATTGTAATACCATAGGTAACTTAAAACCTGATCTTTCTCCTTTCATATACATGAATGTGTTGCCTTTGTTAAAAAAGAAAAAAGAAAAAAGAAAAAAAGAAAAGAATACATTACAAAGCTAAAATCTCCTTTCTATCCTCTGCTCTAGAGATGGCCATTGTTCTCAGATGCACAGGCTTCAAATCATTTTCTTTGCATTTTTACTAATACGTATATATCACATATTGTAACATTATCATTCTGCAACTTTTTTTCTCATTCAACAATATGCCTTGCAAACCTTTTCATCTTAGTTCATATAGATTTATCTCACTTGCTGTAAGTGCTGCAGCTGGCAGCAGTTTTTTTTTAGCAGATCTCCAGTGGAAGGAGTACCAATTTACAGCTCAACCAAAATGGTAGGGAATATAACACATTTGCTTTTTACCCCAGTATATCTTTTTTTTTTTTTGCCTCGAGTCCTCTCAATCTTCCTTTCATCGACCAAGTGCAACTATCTACTCCCAAGCTGTCCCCCAAATGTCTCTGTCAATATATGTAACCACTAGCAAGGTACACATTTATCACTTTTAAACGTATTTACACCCTTTTTACAAAAGCATAACATCATTCATTATACCTGCAGTAAAATTATGATACTTCAAACATTTTTTTTCAAATGCACATATTGGGGAGTTCGATTTAGAAACACCATTTTAACACATGCTCCCAAGCAACACTGAAATCACACTACTTCTACACAGCCCATCTACCAGTGCCTGCTGGCCTCCACCAGGCCTTTTAAAGAGGTCAATCTATGAAAAGGAAAAGACCAAACTAGAGGGAGACACTTCCCAAGACAAAAAGAGGAAGGAACTCCTAAAGAAATACGGAAAAGCAAACGAATCGTGGTTAAAAGATGAATTCAATGGTCCTATTTCTACTGAGAAATGAAACTTCCCTTCAAAATTATGTGGGTCACTAAAGTTGAAGAATAGTTAGTTCAGCCAAAGGGTATTTTTAAAAGCCAATTGTTGGATTATCCTTTGGAGAATTGGTTTAATGCCTGCGGAACAAGTTTTTTTAATTAGAAGGAAACCACAATTTTAAAATGTATTAATTATTTCCTTAGAAAGTTCCTCATTCTATGAATTCCTACATAACATCTGCACCAAAATAGTCTCATGAACACACTGCAGTCTCATCCTGATGCATGTGAGTGTGCACTTTCCCAGAGAGTAAATACTGACAAAGCAACAGGCTGTACGTTTTTCTGAACAATAAGTCCATAAACAGATAAGGGTCATTACCCTGGCTGTAGATTGTGCATCTTAATTATATGCACATTCCTAACTATCCATTCTATTGTTCCTCTCCCATCTCGGAGATGACCAACTGGCCCTGGTTTCCCTGGAACTAAGGGTTCCCAAGATATGGAACTTTCAGTTTTAAAATCAGGAAAAGTCCAATTTTGTCCTTGGCAAACCAAGACAAGTAGGTCACTCTACTCAGAAGCCTTCTTGCAAAATCCCCCCATCCCACCTTCCGCAGTGCATCAACCCCATGGAGAGTACTAATAACACCCAGGTGACTTGTAGGCACCTCTATCATGGCCCTCACCACCCAGATGACTGTAGGTCTGGTCTCTGTGATGGGCATACAATAGTTGCCCAGTAAATGGATGGATGATGGATGGATAATTCTGCCCTATAGATAGATAGTGGGATGTGGACTTTGGAATACACACAGAACTCTACTTTCCTTATCTTGATGTTTGGGGACAGAGTTGGTTGGGGGAGGTGACCCATCATGGGCTGATTTTATGCATATGTTTTGCTTCAAGACTTCTTTTTTTTAGCACCAGATGATTTCCCTCTGTCTCCCTGAGTCACTGCCCAGCAACAGAGTGCCCAAAAGTCAAGCCTGGTGGTTAAAAGGCAGACCCCACTTTTCTCCAGAACAGCCAGGACTGGAGTCTTTCTCTTTAGTGTGGCTGGGGCCTTAAAACATGAAACATAAAAAGAAACTCAATTCAGTAAAAACGTGTATATAGAAGAAACAGTATAAAATGTGCTCAAGCAAAAGGCTGTGAAAGGGCATGATGTTCTTGGAAGAGACATTTGGGTTTGGCTGAAACAAAGGATGATAAGATTTGAGGCAATAGAGATTTGCAGGGCCCAGAAGCAAAATGCTTTATATACCCAGACACTGTCAGTGGCAGCATAAATCAGGGTACTCTTTCTGGTGGACCATTTAGCAATAATTGTCAGCCTTTAAAGTGAATATTCCCCCTTACACAGCAATTCCCCACCCAGGATTAGCACTTGCAAAAGTACATCCAGATGCGTACATGGGATATCATTGTATCACTGTTCAGAAACCAAAATGAAAACAATAAAACAGAAACTGTCCTAAATGTCCATCAATGAGGAACTGACTGGTTAAGTAAATTACGGTCAATCCGTTTAATGGAATACTGTGTAGACATTGTAAAGGAGAAGATGACTCTCTATGAGCCAATGTGGGGCCATCTTCAAGATATTTTCTTGACCTCAGCAAGTTACAAAATCTATCGAGATCCCAGTTTCTTCATTTATCAAATGGATATAATAAATAGCACCCATTGCCTAGGACGACTGTAGAGCAGTGGTCACCAACCTTTTTGGCACGAGAGACCAGTGCTCCTATGAGAATCTAATGCCTGATGATCTGAGGTGGAGCTGAGGCGGTGATGCTAGTGCTGGGGAGCAGCTGCAAATACAGATGAAGCTTGGCTCACTGCCCCCGACGCTCACCTCCTGCTGTATAGTCCGGTTCCTAACAGGCCACGGACAGTCCACAGCCCAAGGGTTGGGGACCTCTGCTGTAGAATACCCAGCAGAGCTTCAATATATAGCAAACATTTCAATGTATAGCAAACAGTTAAAGATAACCAGTAGTAACTGAAGTTGTCGTAGTGATGTGCTACCCCAAGACCCATTAAGCAGGTTCTGGATCCCTCTCACAGTCTTCTGATTTTATGTCTTCAATTCCTTAAACTTTTTCTCCAAATCAGTATTAATTATTATTTTCTTATAAAAATGGATAATTAGACCTGATGCTTTACTATGAGGATTTAATGAGATATTTATCACTAAGAAACAGTTCATTGTCTTCCTCGATACAGGAGTAAGATAAGCATGGGTTCGTCCTGTGATAAGCATTGGCAGATAACTAGGGCTCGGGAACAGAGAATATGGTTTTTGCTAAACTCTTTGGACCTACACTCAGCTAAGTCTGGTGACCAACTACTTCTCTGAGACCTTAAACGCTCCTCTTTGCTAAAGCATGTTTTGTGCTTTACGAGTATTCCAAAGAATAAGGTTTGTCAGGCAGACCATCTGGGCTAATCAGCCACAGACATTGCAGCTGAAGATCAACAGTTCATTTCTAAAAAAGATTTTGGCACTCACTACATAACAGCCCCAATGGAACTAGATTAAAAGTAAGGAAAAGTAAATTCTCCCCCTCATCCAACGCTCTGGGGCTTTCAAGGCAGGCTCAGAACAGCTATATACTAAGTTTTTGGCCAAATAACTAGGCCTGACTCTCCTGGCCTCAGAGTCCACAGAGAATTACTGTGCAGGGTGTATGAGAATCTGTCCCCAAGCTGTCATTTCTTCTTTAACTCTGCTGAAACCCTTAGTAGTGTTCTCCATTTGAAAATGGAGAAACAGAGTTACACTGTTGAAAGCACCCAGCCCTGCTCCAGCTGGTCCTCTGTGGGCACCTGTCTATACTTGATAGCATGCACTGAAAGAGGCTGTAAAAGTGGCCACCTCCACTAACTGCATCTTTCACAGTATCTATGAATAGTAGAGAACCAGGTTTTTCTGAGGAACTACCCTGGTATAGAAAAAAAAAAGTAGGAGTGTTTGTGTGGAAGGCAGCCATGGATTTCGGCAAGGAAGGGAGAGAGAGTACAGACTTCTGGATTGTACCTCCAGCCATGCCAGAAATGTAAGCATGACAGCAACCTTCTCAAGAGTTCAGTTTTCTCATCAATGAACTGAAGGACCAGGACTCGCTCATCAGAGATCCTTCCAGGCAAAAAGAACCTGACTGAGGCCAGTGCTGTCTCCAGCAAATCTAAGGCAAAATCCTCAAGAACAACCCTCAAATTCACAATGACCCTTAAACCAGGGCAGTGAAAAAATAAGCCACAGAAATGACCATGCAAAATCTTATGTTTGTTACCAGAATTCCGAGTCATAGGCACAGGGAAAATTAGAGGCATTTCCCTCTCACAAAGACTGAAAGCACACAGGATTCTGCAGTGAGAAAGTTTCAGTATCTAGAGACCCAGGCAAATCCAGGAAACCTGCACACAATCACTCTCAAATTTCCCTTTCACTTACCAGGCTTAATACTGGAGAGTGCACAGGACTCGTGGAGTCAGATTTGGGGCTGGCGTGAAACTGGGTACCAAGTAAGGCGAGGAAATAAGAACTAATAGTAATTAACCTGATTCTGGCCAAAAGTAACTCGACCTATTACTAACATATTCGTCGAGTGGGCAAGTCGGAATGGCTGGAGGGAACCCGGCCCCTCAGACCTTCCAAGGTGTTGTCCCCTGTCCTGTGACTCCTAGAGCAGGTATTCAGTGCAAAAACGCACAATGCAACCATGCAACCTAAGTGCGTCACGCCACAATGATCCTAGTAGAGGAAGGGAGTTGTCCCGGCAGGTTCACCTCCCGCAACTGACACAAACTGGGAGACCGGCTAACGCGGATCACTGGCTCCAGGACGGGTGGGAACTAAACAACACAATAGAGCTATGAGAAAGAAATGACAGGAGGAGGAAGCTGAACCTAGAAGTCGGCGGTATTAACAGGAGGGTAGGACAGCTCTGGCACTGGAGAGAGAATGCCCCAGATACACGCAGACAGCCACGTCCAGGTTCCAGGCACGGCGGCGCTTGGGGAGAGCCCCCTCCCACCAGCCATCCCCACTCCCGCGCCCCGCACCGTGTTGTAGAACTCGGCGATGGCAGGCACGATGGTGTAGTTGTCCTCGCACCAGTCCACCTCCGAGCTGCCAGCCCGCAGCTGATCCCACCAGTGCGGGGCGCTCATGGCCGCTCCGGGGCATTGGAGCAGCTGCTCCTGCAGCCGAGAAGAGGACAGGGCTGCTGATTTCAAGCCAACGGCGGCAGCCCCAACCGCGCTGGCTTTATGCACAACGGGACAGCCGCCGGATGTGGCGCCTCCTCAGCCAGCCTCCCAGCGCCCCGCTCCGCCTATTGGACGTGACTCGCTCGTAGACCCCGCCCCCGCTCCGCCCCGCGTGGGAGCCCGCGGGCAGCGGGGGGGCCACAGCCAGCCTCGGGGCGGTATGTGAGTTAACGGGGGCGTAGGGAGGCGGAACCCGGCGTCTGAAGCTTCCAGACACCCCCTACTCCCTGCAGGTGTCAAAGGCCTTGACAGTCCTGCCCACGCCTGCCCATGCCCACCTCATGGCTCAGTCCCGCGGACACCCCTACCAGCCCATCTCCACCTCCAACTGTGCAAAGAGCTCCAGAGCTCGCTCTGGCAAAACTCAAATATAAGGAGAATCTCAAGAATACCTAGGCCGAGACAGCGTCTTGGGAAATTTGTACAGATTTCTCTGCTCCGCGCGTGCGTTTCTCTGCCTGCCCTCACACCGAGAAAGGCCCTGCGTCTATCCGATGCAGGTAAGGCCCTGCTTGGTACTGTGGGCTGGAACAGGAAGACCTTAGGGGCTGAAGTGGCAGTCCCACGCTGCCTCTACTGCCCACTCTTGGATAGAGCACTAAAGCAATTTTGAATATGTTCCTGCCCTCGGTCCGCTGAACTCCGTCGTTAGGCATTAATCTAGTCTTCAATTAAACATGGGGTCATACTTCAGCCATCCCAACCCTCAGAGAATGCAGTATGACAGGTATGACATCTCTGGAACATCCAAGTACAAGAGATAATGACACACATATAGCACTTACTTTGTGCCAGGTGTTTGACGAGCTTCCATGTATTAGTCATTTAGTGCTCCCGGCGGGGATCCTGTGCAGTGGGTTCTGTCGGAAACACCATACCTGCTAGTAAGCGGCAGAGCTAGAAATCAAAGTCAGGACGATCTGTTCATAACTACTTTACTTTGCCACTGTGACTATTCTGTAGTTTCTAAATCAAAGTTAATCCAGTCCCAGCAATAACTGGAGAAAGCCAAGTTTGTTTGTTTGTTTGTTTGTTTTGGTCGTGGCTCTACTCCTCCTACCGGTCCTCCTTCCTTAGGAGATTTCAGGGTTCCAGGTCAGGACAGTGGCAGTGGCAGAAGAAACCTTGGTCAGCAATCCATGGTGGCTGTCACCAGGATCTCCTTGCTAAAGCCTACATGGTACCCTGAAGACCAGCTACTCCCAAGAGACTGCCCTCTCTCTGGCTTGACTGTCAGTGGGAATCTAGCCAATGCTCCAATGCCCTGTGCACCCAGTGTCCATCTTCTGCAGATACCTGCACAGCCATTTGCATGTCTCTCCAGATCTCCATCACTGGCCAGAACTACGAGCCTCAACTCCTCTCCTACTCTCCAGGAAATCCAGCTTTCTCCCCTGGGCACCAAACACCTTTCATCTTTGTCTCAACTTCTATCCAGTCCTCCTACAGAGCAGTTCCGCTAGGTCCACTGGTCCGTTCTCCTGAGGTCAAAATTACCTAGACCTGTAGGACACCCAGTGTGAGCTGAGCGCTTAAGTGGAAGGGCGAAGATATTTCCCACAGCCACAAAGGAATACATCAGTTGATTTCTCAGTACCTCAGAGGGCTACACCAACTGTCCAACAATAGTTTTTCCATGTTGTGAGGATTTGACAATATTTTAGGTGGAAATATCCGTATTCATTATTAACTCTTTACGGTGTAAAACACCATTATTTTATGTGCCAGTGGCTCCCAAAGTGTGGTCTCCCTTTCAGGGAATGCACAAGGCCAAAACTCTTCCTATTAACACTATGACATTATCTGCCCTTTTTGTTCTCATTCTCTCACCAGTACACATTGGAGTTTTCCAGAGACTATGTGTTGTGGGATATCATTATCTCTTAGACAGCTAATGGAATGTGTGCTTGTGTGTTAGATATTCAAAGTCTTTGTTTAAATTTCTAATATGCTAAATACTGATATTACTACCTAAACAAAAGTTTTTAATGGTCCTCAATAATTTTTAAGGGTATAAAAGGAGTCCTCAGGTCAAAACGGTTGAGAGCTGCTATTAAAAAGAAAGATATTCCAAATTAAACTATTCCTAATGCTTTTTTATCATTTAGAATTTTTAAATATTTACGATATGGACGCTTTTAGACTTAGATGTACATTGTTATCATATATTATTCTTGCTCAAACATAAAAAGAAAAATGTAAACAAAATAAATACATTAAGGAATTCTTATAATTTCTTTACACTCAGAATCTCTAATCATTTTTCCACTCAAAGCTGTTGGTGTCCTTAATTATTATGTGCTAGTCATGCAGCATTTCTTAAGAGCACTCTACCACCGTTCTTCGCCTTCAAGCAACTGATACATATTATGTATCCACGTTTTGAGGCACATTCTTGATTTTACCTGAAGGTGTCAGTGGAAGGTTTTCAGACAACAGAATGTTTCTTTTTCACATGGTCCTTATATGATTTGTTGACAGAAACATGGAGATTACAGTTGTCAAGTCATCCCACCAGGAATAACCACTGAGTTCGTGCATGTTCAGGCAGTGACAACACATCTCAACTGCCATCTGCCCGACGATGATATAAAATGCCCTCCATTGTAAGATGCATTTGGACTTCAGAGATGTTAAAATACAAAAAGATGCGAGTTTTAGCACCAATGAAAGAGAATTCACTAAATACAATTCATCCTTCTCTCCAAGTCCTGCTAAAAGAGTGATAGGGAGTTTTTGTCCTACCCCAGAACTCTTACTGTCAATGACAATTCTATTTCAAAATGAAAACCAACCACTTGGGTTTTGTCTAATTACAGCTGCACAGAGAGTGCTCAAGCCAAAAGCCATTGGTAAGTAAAGGACATAAGTTACATTCCTCCAAAGACACCTGAGTTGGTCTTGCAACTGTGTTAAAAATTTTTGTTCTCATTGACTCTATTTTTAACATTTTTTTCCAATGAATATAACATTAGTAACTTAACAGGATCTATCATTAGGCAATTAATTTTGAAACTGATTTATATTAGTAGTATGATGCCTTAGCAACTACTGTTATGGTTTAATATAAAATATAATATCAGATGTAAACAGTAGGAGTGGGAGTGGGTGAGAGGAGAGAATAGGGCACTACTGAGTTCTGACAATGAGTTTGCTTGTGGTGCTTTTGGTCTAAATATGAGTCAGTGATACATCTCCACAAGACAGCAGGTTTTGGAGAACCACCCTTTCAGGGAAGTCAGGATGCCAGCATCTTCTGTTTTTACAGAGTTTATAAATATGTTTATTTGGTCTAAGGAAATATCTGATGATAAGTGTCCAGTTCAGCTGGTTCCACTAGTGGAAATCCTCAAATCACAAAGTCTTCTGTAAGGAAAACAAAATACAGACACCTGTGTAAACAAAGCAAGGCGTGGTTCCCTGACCAGCAGCATCGGCATCACCTGAGAACTTGTTAAGAAACGCAAATTTCCAGGTCCATACTCCAGATCCATTAAATCAGAAACTCGGAGGTGAGTGGAGTCCAACTGTTTCTGGCTTTAAAAGCCTTCCATGTGATATTCTGACCCACAGTAAAGTTTGGGAACCACCATTTTAGCCAACGTGTGGTGAAGTGGAAATTGACTATGGACTGTACACTTTGCTTCCCTGAAAAAGTAAATCCAAGCCAAGGCTGCTGCTGCCACCAAAGAAAAGAGGAAGAAAAGAGAAGCCGACATGGGAAGTCATTTCCTTTTTTCAGGCTCATCATCAGGAAACCAGGGCCTCGGGTCAGGCCCCACTCTTCAGCTTAGAGGGAAACACAAGTAGTGAGTAAGGCTTGTTTTGTTTTGTTTTGTTTTTAATCCAAGGCAAAGTCTCCAGGCTCAGAATTGTGGAAGAGGGTTGTAGGAAACAGGGCCTCACCAGGAAAACACTATTGTAACCACTCCAAGAAGGTGGCCACATTTGCTACTCCCTAGTTAATTTACTGACAGGCCATCAGAGACCACTTCCTGCTGTTGTCACTAGGCCTCTCTTCAGAAGTGCCTCTCTCCTTTCTCTAATCTGTACTGGAAAACCACAGACAACGTTAGTACTGGGTGTGGAATAAAAGGTTGATTCTGATTGGAAATCTGAGGCTTTGCCTTTGCCTGAAGTGCATGGAATTTGTTAACATGTGTTTTGACTGCTGCTTCTGGATAGAGAAGGGGTTACTTTGTTAGAGAACTGCAGCTGGCAAAGGTGTAAGCAGTTTTGAGCACCTGCTTTGTGCAAGGCTCCATATTAAGTGCTTGGTAATATAAAGACAAAATATCGTTATTGGCCTTGTGGAGCTGAGTCTAGTAGAGGCACACAAACCATTAGACTATCATATGATAACTGAAAATTGAAGTGTATACATGGAATGTGGAAGCAGAGGGATGGGGGCCCAAGTCTGCATTGGGAGCCAAGGGAGGCTCAGTAGAGGCGGAAGCCTCAGTACTAAGATACACACACAAGGAATAGGATTTTGCTAGGAAGAGCACTGAGAGGGGATTCTCAAGAAGGAACAGCATATGCAAAAGAAAGGATAATAATTCAGGAAACTTCAAATATTATGTTTCAACGGGAAAAGTAGCAGGAGAGGAGGCTGAATTAAAAGACAAATAGGTGATGTGAAAAGAGTAGGTCTTTAGAAAGGAAATCTCAATGGCAGAAGAATAAAATAGATGTCGGAAACTACTGGTAAAGTCTTTCAATAATCCCGATGAGGGATGATATGGGCATGACTAAGGCATGCATTCATTCATTTACTATAATTATTGAATACTTGCTATGTGCCTTGACGCTTTTTTGGGTGCCGAGGATAAAATGGTGAGCAAAAAAGATGCTGCGTCTGCCCTGGTGAAGTGTGCAGTCTCTAGAAGGAAAGTCAGGCATTAAATATTACATAAATAATTTATTGCAAATATGCCATGTGCCATGGAAAAGTACATGTACCATGACAGCAGAGAGCGGTGGATGTCACCTTGTCTGATCGTTTCAGGAAAGGCTTCCCAGAGCAAGTGGATGGGTAAAGTTTAAGGCAGGGTAAGGGG